TTTTTAGTTTTGTTCTTTTTTGTTTTATGTTGGTTTTGCTTTCTGAGATTTTTTTCTTTTTTTTTTTTATGGTTGTTTTATTTTTATGTTGTCTGTTTGGTTGTTTTTTGTTTTTGTTTTTTTTGTTTTGTTTCTTTTTGTCTAATTAGATGTTTTATTTGCATTGAATTGACTTTTGATTGTGTTTTTTTTGGTTTGATTGATAGTTGATAGTTGTTTTGTTGAGTTGTTCGCTTTTGATGACCACTTTCGCATTCGGCAATGCTTACACGGGCGACATCGTAAATGCGCAGTTTCTGGCAGAGTTATTCATATTTCTTCTCTCTACAAACATGCACCTTATGTTGAGACAGCAGTTGAATTTGATTCTTATTTTTTAACCGTGCCTAAAACGTTTGTTACATAGAAAGTAATATAACTTTTAATATAATGCTTCATTGTAAAGTAGGAGCACAGTGAAAAAGTGTGTGCGTGTAGGCGAAACTGGCCAGTTCGTATCTGTGAGGGTCTCATGCTTGTTGACTTCTATATAGAAACATTTACCCGCTTTCCTTCGTTGCCCTGGGGCTCATGGCTAGCATTGAGACCTAACAAAGCGAGGATTCGGTTCGAGGCTGCCCGTGCTCCGGGACGATCCGCCAGCCGCCCCGTCTGCTCTGCTTTGGAGGATCCGTAGTGTGATGCCATGTGTAGAGGCATTTTTGAATGAATTTTTTCTCTAATTTCAGGATAACTTTCTGCCAAAACAACCCCCCGATGGGACACCCTCGCTCATTTGCTTTTCGAAAAAGAGAAGATTCAGACGGCGCGCCGACTCCCGCGGAGGAGACCCTATCCGAGTGGATTCCCGTGGAGGAAAGGCCCCCGTAATGCAACACTATAAGTTTTAAATAGTACTTATAACATTACCGAAACTTTTCCGAGAGCAACGCGTAACGAAATTGTAATATAATTCTATTACGTTAATTTCGTTACGAGGCTCCACGGGAATCTCTCGGGAAGGGCAGGGGATCTCGCATTCGAACCCGCGACCTCCTCTTCCGCAAGCGGCAATGCATGCACGGCCCCATCGTGACACGCGCCAGCTTACTTTCAAATTATTGTACATTAGGTATTCTCAGAAAATCTTGGAAATTATTTTTACGGATTCCGTTTGCAATTTTCTTTAAATCTCTTATAACATTTGCCACGATATACTAGGTTTGGGGGAGAAAATTTCGTAGAATACGATTTTGAGATCTCCAGGCACGTTACCAAATTTATATCACAGTGCCATTGCCATACACTAACCGCTGACAGCAATTAATTCATTATTTACTACTTGTAGTAGTTGCATCCATAAAAAAACTTTTCGCTTTTTGTAAATTTGATGGTGACAGTAGCGTCGAATATGAAGCTTAATTTTAAGCACCTAAGCACTCAAATTTCTTGATATGTATGAACATTTTCTATGTTATTCTTCACGCTATATATAAGTACATGAATCTTGTACATCTTAATTTGTGTTCTCTTGACATCTAAAATTCTAATGTCTGGAAAAGAGATGTTTGCTGGTTTTGTTTCTGTACAAAATGAAACTTTAAATTTCCTTCATTCCGAAGCACATCATACAAAGTTATAACATTGTCATAAATAAATAAAATTAAGTGAAGGACTAGTTTCTGATCCTTTCACAGAACTAGTATTACCATCTACGAAATGCTTAAATGCTTCTTGACAATAGTAAGAGACATTGTGGAAATCATAAAACTTCAAAACCTAATGGTCAAACTATATTACAAAGAAATCCAAACCTCTTACTCATTTTGGCAATTCTGATTGTGTGGTGGGACTCTTTCGAAGCAAAGCAGCTAACATACGATAGAGAATATTTTCGTTACGTAACTGAGCATCAGAGTACACAGGTTGATGGGTTTATCGAGTATACTTCATGTTGGCAAAAGGAAGGCACATCCAGTTTTGACTTTCAAAAAGTTTGTTTCAGATGTTCTTCCAGACAATGGAAGGAAAATAACAAATATTAAAAAAATAGAAATGGCGATATTCATGTGGTATGTATTTTACTCTCAAAGTTTTGACATAGCTACTAAGTTAAGTGGAAATCAATGATTAAGTGCTAATGTTATTAATTTAGTAGGCTTATTTTTAATGTCCATAGCATAATATTTTAATTAAGAATTTTTTCATAAGTCAGTTACATTTGAAATAAAAAGGTTTGAAACTTTAATTTTTATGTAACCAGCTGTAATGCTATCATGTGGTTATGTAGTGCGATGTTAAATATTTGATTTATTAGTGTGAATATATAAAAATACATGTTTATGAATACTAATTCTGCTCCTCCCAACATAGTCAAAATATCAGCAACGAGTGTGCTTCTTAATTTTTTTTAATGACCTAAATCAAAGAACTCGCTTTTTATACTATGGTTGTGTGCTTATTTAAATAATAAAAGTAATTCACAATTTCCCAAATATTGCTTTCTGCTAGAGGAAATGGGGTCCACCTGTTCTAAGAGAAGGATATAGGGAGGATCACACATAGATCATAATCCCCTTTGCACCCTAAACAGAATACACAATTATGAGTTTGAATCATCAAAACTATTATACTAATTAGACCATTTAATATTACTAACAAATTCATTGTTTCAAAAGTATTTTCTTCTTATAAATGCCCAAAGCTTCTTAAGATATACTAAATGTAATTCGGGGGATCTAAAGATCGTTGTTCCTCTTGTTTTCAAGAAGCTTTCACTTGTCTTTACTGCAGATGGAAGTTGTAATTGATTTTTTTTTCACTTCAATGTTATCTTTTGCCCTTTTGTTTGCTCATGTTTGTTTTACTTTACACATGTCTGTGCCAAGTTCTGCACTCAGGAAAATTGGACCTTGAACAAGTAAAAAAGTTTAGTAAAATTCTATACTTAAACACACTATGCTTAAAATGAAGCAGAAGTGTGCAACTACAATTCATACTATGTTTTCTATGTTGGAATACAAATAAGAAGTAACTTATGTGTAGCATTTGGTGCATGCAAACCTTGATTTCTTCAAATAAATTTCTTACAACGTTAACGTATTTATTGGCTTTATTTCTATTCTAGACCATATGGCTTGATATACTGCTTTGACAATTTATATTAATTTTATGATAAAATATAATTTAAGTATTATTTAATTAACAATTCATTGATCTCCTAGACAAGCCTCCAAATTTCTGATGCAACATTTACAACAGAGAACCAAACAAACTTCAGAACACTTTTTCCTGCGACTAGATAAGCATTTTAATGCATGAAAACTCTTCAGATGGAAAATTTCTAAGGAATTTTTCATACTTCAGACTCAGAAGTATATAGGGCATTAAGTAGTTAAATTTCTGTACTAACAATTACAAAATACAATGTTTATACTAAATAACCACAAGAAATGTGAATTTGCATTTAAAGTAGAATCTTTTGAACATTCTATCGACTTTTGTCAGATAACAATTTTGAAGTAAATTTCATAAGGTTGCAGTTTTCTTTTAGTTATATTGCTACAACTACATTGTAAGATATTGGTAAAAAAATCGGAAAAATTATTGAATAAAATTTATAAACTATGGAAAGTCATTTCATGTTTCTTTACAATTTTTTAATGTGTATGCATGTGTATACTCCACGACATGCAAAAATAAATAATCTTTTATTGAAATATTTTTTGCAATTACATTTACATAAGAATAAGAATTTGAAAAGATAATTGAATATAGATTTTAATTAAGAAATAAGTTACTTTTTTTCTCTCCTTATTACTCTCATTTTATAGAATTATAAGAAAAATTAGTCTAAAATGTTTGAGGTTAATTACTACAGATAGGCCGAATCAATGTAAAGATTAGAACTTTCTTTGTAAAATGAATATACAATTTTTAATGCTAAAGGCCCTTCTTTTCACTATATAATTTTTATACCTACAACAGTAATGCAGATTTATGAAATATTAAAGCAAATAATAACGGAAAAAAAGAACAGAAATGATCATCACAACAATATTCACTAAACAGATAGTATAGGTTTATAATTTACAATGAGAGAGAATAAATAACTTTTATGCTTTGCACATTAAAACAGAAGCAATGAGGCTATTTTATGATTGGCAAGGATAAGGATCCTACAAGGGTCTTCCTCCATTTTCAATTTTTATTGACATGACGGAGTAACAATGTAATAGTATCCCTGTAGCATCACAAGAAATCATTTTAACTTTGTTTTTTGGCTCTGTCCTATATTGTAAAATGCCTTATATTGTTGAAGTAAAGGCACAAGCACTGTTTTCTTGCATCATTTGATGAATTAATTTTGCTAATAAAACACACAATGATATAAATATTTAAACACAGTTGATTGATGCATCATGTACAAAATGTCTCACTTTTGACAATGTTCAGAAACAACACTACCTCCAATTTAGAAGTAGACTTAAGTTCAAAAATAACACTTTCTTCACCTTTGCGTTGAGTGATGACTACGGCGTCTGCGTCTTTTTGTCATAGGTGGATCAGGTCGTAAAATTCGTGAAGTCACCTCACTATTCACATAACAAACACAACACGATGGCATTTTGAATGAGTCTGGTTGGGCTTCGCCTCCATCTCCCACTGCCACCAGCCGTCGGTAAATATATTTTTGTCGGCACACTGGATTAGAACCATCTTGAAACCCGCTTGCCAGGAGACAGGTCTGATCTGGCTTACTGTAACAGTTGCATTGGCATCTCAAATAAAGAATACAATATTATACCGGTTGAATCAAAATGCAAATAATTTCAGGAAATTAAATTTTATGTGATATGCTTATTATTCAATGGTCAGGATTAATTATTGTTTATCCAGGGTTATTCCTGATAGTAGCTTGTGGTTTCATTAATAAATCTATTCCCACTCATTGAAGTAATTAATATTCCCAAACATATGTATATTTCATGATTGGGTACAGAATTTACCATCAGCAATAATGTATTTCAAATTTTTAGGAAAATTGGTAAGAAAGAAGACAAAATTATACAAACTGTTATGTTGAAAATGACATAATAAAATTTACAATTATTTTAAAAATTTAATGAAAAATTTTAAATTAAATTTTATGAATTGAAATTAAATTAATTATAAAATAAAAGGGAACTAACACAAACAATGTATTAGGAGAAAGAAATCCAGTAAATAAACTCGCTGAAGAATCTATCCATTTCTACAAAACTGATGAACCAAGTAAGAAAAGTAGATTACTCATTAACAGAGATTTAATGCCAAAGTTTGTGAAAATGAAGTGCCCCCAAGGAAAGATGCAAAAGGGCTGAACACTAAGTGAAAATGAGAAAATTCTGCTGAAGTTCATTCATTGATTTATTATCATTAAATTAAATAAGTGAATAATTAAGAGATAACAAAACACTAATTATGTTTGAATCAGCAGAAATATGTTTTATATAATAATCAATAGAATTTTTTTATTTACATCCAGAACACTAAATTTTTCAGAGAAAATCAAAGGAAGACAGACCACCATTTGGTTAAATGCACAATGGAAGAAAGGAAAACTAATGGTTAAATTCTAAGAATTTTTCTGAGAGAATTAACATAACTATAAAAGAAGATTGAGTGAAAAATGGAAGGAGCTAGAAAAGTATATTGGGACATTTTGAGATTTACATGAGCAAGCAATGCTAAGCAGAAAATGATTGCAAGTTATCAATTCTTAAAAACAACTAGGAGCTATAACAGCACATTTTCTTGTATTTCTTATTCTGAAATTTTCAATAATTCAGCGAGATCAAAGAAAATGAGACCTGTAGCATTTTTAAATAACCCTTTCTTCTATGCATGAAAAAAGTTTCAAGAAAAAACTGAGTGGTTTTTAAGAAAAAATTTTTTTTAGAAATTTCATAAATTTCAGCCATATATAATGCGAAATCATCTAGCTTTTTCAAAACTATTGTACAAGACCTTTTTTAATGAGTTGATTTTTACAACAGACCGTTGAGGGCAAAAATATCAGGCGGCGAGGCTTTCACATTAATGTGAAACTCTCGCTAGATTGCATTCCAGAAAATAACCAAATGAAACATTACACTATCCTGAGGAACTATTCAACTCTTAGTGCTAATGAAGGGTTATAATTAGAAACGAGTCATATTACCGGCCATGATGATATGGTCAACTAAAAGCATTGTAAGGCACAATATTGAAAGATGTGGTTTGAAAGAGCTGCACTAAATTTTTAATTTTCTCACACTTGCTAACATAAGAGAAAGTATTGTAATTGGGTGCCGGAAAACAGCGAATTTTCGACACAAAAACTCTTATTGCTGTGCCTTGGTAAAGGAAAAGGGGATCAAATTTGCATCAAAGAACTGAAGATGGAGGCTGACCCCCCCTCTCCATTTTCCTAAAATTTATACCGACTGGTAATTAAAAAGTGGAAAATCATTTGCTAATGTTCAGGTGGCAAAATTATGTATTTTGATAACACAGGTCACTATTTAATTTATATTTGTTCCATTAAATTAATGCAATGTCTGATTCAGCTTTTTAAAATGAGTAAAGAGAGAAAATAGTGTTATAGGAAAACTCTTTGCCAAATCAACCGCAAAGCACTCGAAAATAAAAGCCAGAACAGATTTAACCTGTGCCAATTTCCCACCAATTTCTCTTTGGAATGTCACTGAAAATTTTAAAACACAAAACAACTTAAAATTTTGAACTATTGAATATTTTTTCCATAAACAACTAGGAATACTCATAAACATAGAAATACTATAACAACACCACACATCATCTACTTTTTAAAACAAGCAAGCAAAAAAAAAAAAAAAAACAATACAAAAAAAAAAAAAAACACTGTTTGACAGCACACACACACACACACACACACCAATTCATGTTGTCTCAGATAGCCATAAAAATTGTCTATGATTTACGATACAAATCTTCCTAAATTACATAAAAATATACATTAGGTGAGAATGTCTCTTACGTGCACAATTCCACTCTGATTCCTTGTTGAAAATTGTCATTGTCAAGATTTACTATAAACATCCACTGACCATCAGCATTTTCACCCATTTTGGGGAAGACGATCTTCTCCTGCAAACAAATTATTATTTTCACAAAAAATTTATAAATCAACATGTCAAAAATAAAAATATTTCAACAGCTAGTAATTGCATTCAGGACCGACTATACATTTTATTAAACATATATATTTTTTAAAATATTGTATGATTTTTCTCTTACTTTATTTCTTTTACGACACAAAAGAAAAATTGGAACATTTAAATTATATCTCATGGTTCCAAAAGCTTAAGTTTAATAAGTTGAACACAAAAAAATAAAGGTTATTGTAATGGTACCTAAAGATCCAAATTTCCACGTTTGTCAGCCAAAGAAAATTAATTTTTATCAAATTCTACTTAACACCGATGGGGTTATTACAGTTTAATTTTCCGAACTAAAACAGAACTTTTTAATTTTTATTAATTGGATTTGATGAAAGGTTAAAACCATTGTAGTCTTAATTGTTTAATCTAAGTGAAATGAAATAATAATAAACTAGTAGATAAGTTTGCTAAAAAATATTTGAAGTTTTACTTCCAATAAAAATGATATTAAAACAGCTAATCATATGCACCATTTAAAATGAACAATATGCAATTCGCTGATGTTAAGGTATCAAAATTTCTGGGTCCCTTAATTCAGTCAAACCTCAAATGAAATATCCTTATAAATGAATTGAATACTAAATCAAGTTCACTTGTTATGACTTCAAATCTCTTTAAAATTTAATAAGCCTTCATGCAGCTAATTTCGTGTTTTGCATATGTTTATTTCTGGTCAAGATGTGGCATAATATTATGGGAAATATATCCTATTGTATCTAGTCATTTAGATTGCAGAAAAAAATTGAATCAATAATACAGGATTGTTCCTTTATGTGATTCTTTCATTCCTCTCTTGGATGAGCTTGGAATTGGCAACCCCCTGCCTTGCATATTTATTTATGTATGTATATTTTTTGTCAAAACCGACAAAGTGTAGAAACATATTTTCTTGCAATACATATACCTATATTTACAATTACAACACACACGAATCTTATTCATGAGGTGTTAGTATCAACAGCTCCTACAAGAAATAGAGATGTAATACATGAATGTTATTTTACATTTCCTGCAATACGCCATGAAACAATGAAAATCAGTGTACTAGTTTAAGTATGAAGTACAATACTTTCTGTTGCATAACTGTACCTTTACAATTAGAGACCATAACGAGTATTAAAAATGAAAATAAAATTTATTTGAACATTGGAATACAGGCCCAATTTAACATTTTCATTGTTTAAAATTCTAAATGAGCCTGTAACAAAAAATCTTTATTTTCCGAGTCAATGAATCCCATCTTGACCAGTTTTTTCATCTAGTTTCCCGATGATCCTTTTTAGCAAATACTGAGATGGCCCATTGTTTTGCTTTGGAGCATTAATATAGCTGTATATGTGCATGTTTTATTGGACTCTTCTTTTGTTAGTTGTGGTACGTCTAGAGCAGTGGGGCCGGTGGCTATGCAGGTAGGTATACTGATGTAAATAAGTTTTTCTTTTTTAACTCTGGAACAAATATTTCTGTTTTTCCTATATTGCTGACATTTCTGTGTTTGTGCATTTTTTAATCATTCAACTATGTATAGTTAAAGGGTGAAGTAGGAATCCTGGAACTCAAATCATGCACCGACTATACTATTCCCCAATATGTCATAAACAGTTCTTGCCATATTTTAATGAAAAGAAAATCAAATCACTTTAATTTTATGAAGCTCGCTTAAGTTGTTGCGATAATACAAAATACAACAACAAAAACGGATTATAATACTAAGCACTACAAAAAAATGAAACTTGAAAATATCTCAACCCTTAACAATAATTTGTTTTTGGTCTCCTTGTTATAGAGCATATTCCAATATCCTTCAGATTGTAAGCAAATATTTCATGCAGATAGAAAACACTTACTTCTGATGGACATAATGATTTCTCTCCATTCATGCCAAAACGGTCCACAAGCTGACAAAAAAAGGAAATAAAATTATTTGTAGTCAATTTAATAAACAATACATAATATATCTATTTGGCATTAAATCTTAAAAATACTAATTTAATGCAAGACTGAATTCATATTTATTTAAAATAATTTGTTTGATAATTAGATGATTCAATTTGTCTGATCACCTCAATTGGGAAAAATTAATTCACTTTTGATTTGCAATAGCTCAACGTGTGCAATTTGTTTTGAATCAATTCCAGTAGTATATTTTCAGTCATAACTTATACAAAGTAATGAATATTAGTAAATCGATTTCCAAAGGAAGATTACAGAAATAGTATACGATGAAGATAATAGGTAGAGTTGTGCAGTTCATGCATTATGGAACTCCAAATTATACAATCAAATTTTTGGAAATTATATGGTTATTATGCATGAAAAATTGGGTAAATTTGCATCTTATGACCTTCTAAATGTTCATTTATACAAATGTATGCAGAAATAGAACTATTACAAGAAACACTTCATGCTTTATTTGCTCTCAAAGCAGCACGTTTGGAATAAATATATTCACTTTCGAAAAAAAGGGAGGGGGAGGATCATTCAGATAGTTCAGGACTTACTAGTATTCAGACAAAATAAATTATGGATCTAGTACAAATCTTAAGTAATTGTTCTCTCTTAGATTATATTTATGAAATGTTGATAAATTTACTTTGAAAACTAACTATAAACAAAGTTTGTCAAAATAGTATGTGCATTTCAATTTAATTTTTAATACCAAATTCAATATAAGGAAAGAAGCTAAAAGTATCTTTCTCTATACTTCTATTTCAGTGTTTTTTGTTTAACCACCGACTTTATTTTTTTGTTCAATATTTTTGAATCTGTATTGAACAGAAGCTTCAGATATATATATTAAGAATTAGTAAAACCATTGTGTGTTATTAAGGGTTTAACTTTGATTTTCTACAAATGAATTTTAAGTAAGCAACAAAAATCTTGAGAAATCAAAACAAAATATGAGATGGATATACCCAAAGATATGTGAACTCCATGAATGAAAATAATACAATGCATTTCTTGTTAGAAACAGTTGCGTGATCTTATCTTGTGTTTGCACAACTTATAAAAGTAGTTCTTGGATGATTGGTTACATTAATGGAAAGTCTCTACAATGAGAAATTAAACATTAAGTGATGATAAAGAGTGCTAGTGCTTATCTAATACATCTGTGGCAAATGAAAAGATGAAAGACCTTTCTATTCAGATTGATTGTCCTTGTCAAGATATTGTTTTAAAATTTGAATGAGATTTAAAAACAAAAATATTTAGACTTTTTCAGACAACTAAGTAAAGTTATTAGAAAAAATTAGGATGTTTTTAAACAAATAAATACTGTAAATTTTTTTTGTCCATAATCTATATATTTATAATTTTATTTTTGAAGTTTAATAATGCATAAAATGGAAATAATAAATTTAATGTTCTTTACTATCATGTCTCTGTTTATTCTTTTTATCAGGTAGAGTCCATAAATGATGTACAGAAATTCTTGTAGATACATATTAATTGTTCACATATTTTATTTTTTCATTGGAGACTTCTTTGCCTTATCCCCCCCCCTCCCCCTTCCCATTTTCTACCATTCAATCATATTGCAAAGTGTTCTTAAAAAAAAAATTGCCTCAAGACTTTTACAAGTACTGGTGAAAAATAACAAAAACTCTTGATGAAAACTGTATTTTTTGAAAACACATTTTTCACATTGAACAAATTTTCATTGCATCTACAAGTCTGTGAAGTGAAAGTCATTTTACAGCAGAGACGTGAGACACGTAAAATACATGTGAATAATTATTTTTATTTGTATTGCGCTTGATTATTTACTACTATATTTCTTACATGCAAAGAGACATTAATGTACCAATTTTACATTCAATTCTTAGTAGTTTCTTGCTCTTCAGTGTAGATTAAAATCATTCATAAAATGAGCACATTGCTAATTTTGGAGTTGCAATAACAAGCATTTTGCTTTTTGATTGACTGGGAAAGATATTTGACTTCTGTGATTACTTTGTGAAAGACGTGTCTAGCATTTTGTTAGATAGCCAAGAACTCTGAAAAAATTCGAAACACTGAAATAGTTTCAATAATGTCTGAAAAATGCAAATTTTTGTGTTTTTCTTATACTTATTCTCTTAGAGCAAGTACAGACTGAAGTCTGATACTCAATGCATCACTGTTTCTGACAACTGTCATGCAGCATCGAGGCTCCCAGGAAGAGTCCATCATTAAATATGTGCAATTCTCATTTGCTTGAAGAGTCAGCAACTTTTTTGAATTTTTTGGTACATAAAGATCTGTTGAACCAGGGAAAAATTTTGGGAGGGTAAATAAAAAATGTTTTGGTTGAATATGTCATTACAGATTTTGTCAAATGTTGCAGGGTAGTCTCAGCTAAAGCTGCAATACGATTTTATTAGTTCAAATGATTATCCGAAAATCTTTCTGCTTGAAAGTTTCCTGATAAGTTATAATTAGTAGTTACTTTTGTTTCTGTACTCATTAACACTGTTTTTGTTAAAAAATGTAATTAATTGCAGTGCTGTATAAGAGGGATTTTTTGTTCTTGAGCAGTGTGGGTGCTATTTGGAAAACCTTGTGTGGTTGTGTTCAACAGCGTTTTGGATGCTGCAGGACACTAGTAAAGATAATTATATAACAAAACAAATTGAAAACTAACCACGCGGGAGCTTACATTTTGGTCAAGCGTGTCATTGCCAAAGTAATCCCGGATACCCGGACTGTTGCTCAGGACCTGGTTCAGATGCACCCTAAAACATGAGGGCAGATGAACATGAAACAGTATTCACTCAAACAGTCACTCATGTTCATAAAACAATAAATTTTAAACTTAACAGATATATGCCAACCCCCCCACAAGGAATAATTTGGAAAATAGCATTCCAAATATAAATTTGTTAAGCAGATTGGGTCATCTGCTACCATATATAGTGACAGAACTACAGGAGTTAGAATGTGTGATGTTTTCTTGCTGACACCAAACATGAAACTTAACTGTCTGGATTTAACATTAAATTAAGAATATATGAATAAAGAAAAAAAAATAAAAAATAAAAAAAAAATAAAAAAAAATAAAAAAAAAGAAAAGAAAAAAAAAAGAAAAAAAAAAGAAAAAAAAAGTGTAGTAAAAGAAAGTGCATCGCCGCATGATCAATATCTCCTGTCTCATTCTCTCTCTTTTTGGGACACCATCTCTTTAACAAGATGTTTTCCCCCTTTTCAAGTGCACCTCTGCGATGGTCACACCTACTTACATGGGGTAGCCATCCACGCCTCCTTCACAGAAGGTAGAGTCACGTCGAGCACAGTTGGGCCGACGTCCGTTGAAGCGTGGTTTGAATTGGCTATCAGGAAAAATAATATCTCCGCGACCTACAACAGAAAAGAAACGCATTAGAGAAGAATTTCAATTAAAACCTGATAAGAAATTATTACCTTTATCGCCTTGCAAATTATTTGTAAGAAGAGAAAGTTATGTAATCGTGTGCCAGAAAACGGCAAATTCTCGCCAGAAAAAACAAACAAAAAAAAAAACAAACACTAATTGCCGAGCTCCGGTAACAAAACAGTGAATAAATCCTATGGCTAAATTTGGAAATAGTATTATAAGAAATTTAGAAACTTCCGTCTCTCCGTGTGTGCGTGTGCGTGTGCGTGTATGTCTAATTGTGAGCCAGAAACGACATAGTATCCGAGAGCACGTCAAATACGAACGTCAATCGCACGAGTGAAATGCATCATCTAAAATTAGTGTCAGAGACGAGGGACCTACTGATACTATTCAAGACATCAAATGAGGTCACTGCAGTTCTTGACTGGGAGGTCCTAGGGCTTACGACGCGACGGTGATAATATTTTCGACACACTATATGTATCTAGATTGAACTCAGCCGTCATCTCGAGGAGAATCCTAGCCACCAGCTTCTCTGATCGGCATTTTTCGTGGTTTCTTCAATCAATACCAGGCGAATGCCGGGGCAGAACCCTAAAAAAAGTCCTGGGACATGTGCGATATTTTGTTTTTTATCGATCTCTCTTCCTCTTACACGCACTACATTACAACAGTTGGGTTACCAGTCCCTACTAGGGTGGTAACCCGTGGGATGACACCTGGTTGGGAGAACCCCGCAAGTCTATGTGTAGGTCGGCCCCGATTCTCAAGTTTTAGTGGGGAAGGAACGCCACCTCCCGGGATTAAAACGTGCACTTCACTTACGGGATTCATGATCGTAGCAGTTGACCCGCCTGGAAATACGAAATTATCAAAGACGAGAGACAAACTCATCTAAATCTTCCTTGAGAAATGCACATTAGAAGCTCGCATTTTCGAATTAATCACGAGTTAACTATAATTCAGTTGAGACAAAAGTTAAATATAATAAATGAATTATTGTATGAACTTTATCATTTCATTGGAGATCGTGTACCATTGCAAACCTAATCAGGTAGTGTCGAACCTTCCTTTCAAGGTAGTTGCGGCATTGTGCTTATTTAAAGCCATTAAAATGAACCTGATGGTAAAGAAATTAATTGAATACCTTTGTAGCTGGTAATGCTGAAACAGTTTATCCTCTAATGTTGAAAAAGAAAAAGTAAGTTAATTATTTGAGGAAATGCTGAGATGGCCCCTTGTTTGCTCCTGAACAGTAATATAACTTCGCTCTCCACCCAAGGCATCATATTGACTCGTCATACACGATTATAATTGTATATGCGACTCAATAAATATTATTATTATTATTATTATTATTATTATTATTATTATTTAAATTAACTACCGGGTTATTTTCAAGCAAGCAGAAAGAAAGAAGCAGACTACCTGATAAATAAAACTGTTTTCACAAAATTCATATTCTTTAAGTTTTGCAAGTTTTTCTTTTAATTCAAATTTTGAAACCAGAACTTCCTTTTTATCCCTCTTGACACCTGATGTATTTATCGCTGCACGTGAAGTTGGAACTCTGGAAAATGCACTTCATGTACAATGGGGAGCTCTGGCTACAGTCAAGTAAAGACATTTCATAATTCTGAAGACTGACACGGAAGGGTAAGCAATTATCACAACCATTAACGTTCTCGTTTTGCGTCATTGCTAGTTAACACTCAACTTTTCCACCACTCACCGATTTGCCACAGCTAGACCAATCTACTCCCAGTCCACTCTCCTATTTTGACGACCTGAAAACTCCCAACGCTCGCACGGCAAATTAATTGATCCCTCAAGGCATTAAAACCTGAGCTACTCCTTAAAATTACGGTTAAGCATACCGCCGTTTCCGAAAGACAAGGAATTTATTATTATTTAATAGTATTTGAATTAAGTTTTTAAAGAAAGACAACGCCAACACGTGTTTTTCAACTAAGGTGGTTCAGCACTAACATTTTTCCTCACGCAGCGAGGATTCAAACACAATTTCAAAATCGATTTAATATATCAGGTTTCTAATGTTAATTCGCAAACTTCTCGACTTGCTTCTCCATTATTTACGTGGATTCTGGGGTCAGATTTTACACCACACGTTTAGCCCAATAGTGGTTCAGCACTAACATTTTTCTCACGCAGCGAGGATTCAAACACTATTTCAAAATCGATTTAATATATCAGGTTTCTAATGTTAATTTCGCAACTACTTCTTCCCGAACTTGCTTCTCCATTATTTACGTGGATTCTGGGGTCAGATTTTACACCACACGTTTAGCCCAATAGTTTGCCCGTACTTCATGCACGGACACTATTTGGAATTATTAATTTAGAAAATATGTTATTTATTTGCTATATTTATTATATAGTACTAAAAAACAAATAGTATTTTTCAGAAAAACATTCCTCATAACTACACTCTTGTCTCTACCACCAGCATGAGAATGTTTGATACACAGCTACAAAATCGTAACAGAAAAATAACGCCATATTTTTATTCAGAAGCAACAACAAAATATCATTAATAGGAAATGGACAAATTTATAGATTTTTTTCCTATAATTTACACGTGTAACATTGAATCTATTTGGGAGTATTTCTGCATAAAAAAATCAATTTTCTTCAAAACAAGAAAACTTACACAACTGAAAAGTTTATAACACACAAAGCAACGCAAAACTGGACATAAAGAGCATATTTTAAAGGAGAAATTCATGTGAATAATTTTCAGAGTGCTGCAAATCATTATTTGTGCCTGGTGTCAAATGACACCAAAAAGAATCTAAGGATTAAAGAATTTTTCACTTTACAGCAAAAAACAATTTAAAAACCAAAAGAATCTGTATTATGCCCCGGGATAAAGGTTTTTTGAAGAGACAGCCAAAGTTTTATGTGATTACGGTTACTTCGGTTTACCCCAAAGTAGTAGCCCTTCAACAAAATATAAAGTAAAGAAACCAATGCTTACTACTAGACAGAAGATTAGATAAAGATTCTCGTGTTCAATAGGGCTTCTCTGCGAAATGTGTTGCATCATTGGATGCAAATGGATTTGGAAGCTTTTACTGTGACTCTTCTTGTGATTATACATAGATACATAGATTATACATTATACATATTTTAGAAGTAGATTCATACAGAAGGAGAGACTAGGCCAAAAACAGCAATGATTTTCAAAAAATAGACAAGTTTCTAATAATTCTATAAACTGTTGATTAAAATGCTCATGTTCTTCATTGGACTATACTATTAATGAAAAGCAATGAGCTGGATGAATGCTATTCCATCTCGTGTAAGTCCAATGATACCTTGCTATTGTGCCTTCAAACTATTCCACTTCACTAATCAATAACTATAATATTATTATAAAAGTTTCTTACTCGTGTCCCGGAATAGGCGAGGCTAAGTCTTTACGTCCCAATAACTTTCGGTTATTTGCACTCTAACGCATGATTATATAAATGTGAAGATATTTAAATAGTTAGGGGGAAGAGTAGGCATTACAATTGAGTTTACCCACAAATAAAGAATTATTAATTATTATTATTATTATTATTATTATTATTATTATTACAGGAATAATAACATATCGACAGGTAAGTAAAGGAGAAATGTTTATGTGAGAATGCTTCAGATTGTTTATGTGGTGGTATGAGTTACGGGAGAGACAACAGTTATTTTTGACTAAAATCTAAATCTACACTCTGAAAACACACATTATTCAAACTCGCAGCTTTCGGTTGGGTGGTCACCGGGGCCGATCTACACATCGACTTTCGGGATTCTCCCATCCAGGTATCTCCCATCCAGCCCACGGTTCACCACCCCAGTCGGGACTGGTAACACAGTTGAGGTAATGTAGTGCATGTAAGGGATACGAGAGATCCAGTGGTGATTCACGCATCATGCCCATCTAATCAATATATATTCTTAGCTCTATTAGATTTTTTAACTGTCCATAACTTGTGATTCCCCATTACATTAATTGGCGCCAGAGCACGGTGCGAATCGCCTCCTTGTGCCGGGGTTGAGCTCTGAGCATGGAGCATGCCTATATAAATCACATCTTAACATTTACCTTCACACAGATCAACAAACCAGCTCATCTAATAGTACCTAAAATATAATACAGACTAATGTACTATAATAAACTCATAATAAACTAATGATTAATAAAAGCCATCGGTGCAACCCTATCTGCCAGCCCCCCCCCCCAATCTACATACATACACCTCGTACCTATGAGTATAAATGGCCGGGACACATTCTATAAACCTATAAGCACTTTTCATTTGACAATTTTTCTGATATAAGACTTTCCTCTCTTCTCTTCTGTACCCATTCGTTAATTTCGCTGCCTGATTAACATTATGAAGATACGATCTTACGCTTTTTTTCCTTTTTTAAGTAAAACTCCTTTGTTTACCAAAAACAGTGTCGTCAAGACGCTTCTATTGTGTACGCGACCAATACGCCAGCATAAAAACTTCAGTTTATTTCAAAAGCGCGCCAAAAGTCCTGAAAACAGCATTTCTCGTTCCTGAGAGCTGGCGGTAGAGGCCCAATGTGGGATTGCAGCGCTACCGCACGCACCTGTGGTGTCGCTATCGCACACATCCCTGCTCCGACCCGGAGCTCAATTCGCTGACGCTTTTTTCTTTTTGTCCCCTCCACAGTAACCCTGTGAAGAAGGGGAATTTATTACTTTTAAATGTTTATACATTATGCTGATGCCTTGCGGCTTAAGCAGCTAGAGGCGGGGTATTTTTCTAAAACTAATTTACAATCTAGACCTAAAGTTAACTTACTCGCAGTTTAGCATTACTAACGTACACTAAAATCAGTTTTGTAATACTATGTTGTATTTTCTAATGTAAATTGTTTTTATATAGGTTGGTATATTATTATTATTATTATTATTATTATTATTATTAATGTTATTATTGTTATTATTATTATTATTAATGTTATTATTATTATTATTATTATTAATATTATTATTATTATTAATATTATTATTATTATTAAAATTATTATTATTATTAAAATTATTATTATTAATATTATTATTGTTATTATTATTTTTTATTTTTATTATTATTATTATTTTTTGTTTTTTCTACATTCACACATCATTCATACTAGTTTCATTATATACATAACCATTCATTCGCACTTCACTTCACATTCGCCGACGCCGCCTCGGAAGCGGGCCCTTTCACGCGCGGATTCCGGCGCGTGTCCGCCCGACAGACAACGCAGCACAGTAGGGCGACACCCCGCGGCAAAGGGCACAAATTAGAGCAGTGACGTTGCCCCAAGAAGTATATTTGTTAACAGCAACTGAAATTTTGAATGCGTCCATCTTTAAGTAAAACAAAAAAATGTCTTTATTGGTGACGAGGCTCAGGCCACTGAGCCTAACCTTCAGCTTGGGTTTAGGAGGGAAGGCCATTTTTTAAGGAGTTTGAAAACGTGGATACAACAATTAATTATAAAATAATGCTGAAAATGTTAAAGCTAGTTCGTGGAGAATTCTCTTTGTAAGAACTTTTTATTTCCAAAAATAACCCTCATGTGTTAATATAAATATCTTGTCAACAATTTCACTTTTGTATCGAAAGCTATTTTGACAAGAATCACACAAGCAACACTAAGCAAACAATATACACTACGAACTACAAACTATTTATTCTCTCGTATTTTCATATCCCAGGAACGTAAAAAAGCACATTTAAATTATTTTTTAACTAGTCGCTCATCTAGTATTCTTTTTAACATGGAAGGGGGAACTATACTTTTACCTAGTGTCCAAGCGATTTTATATCAAATTTTATCGGTGTTAAATTTAAAATTTATTATTGTTTGTTTCAAGTTATTTCAGAAGTATTCAATTGAAATATTGAATGAATTTCGATACTTCAGTAAATTAAATATGTATTTTGAAAGTATATCATCGGCATCTAAGGAGATGAGAGCTGAATCTTAACGAGTGCAACCCTAAGGTGCCCAAATAGTGGCACATCACCCCTCTTTGGTGTGACACTGTTTTAATAAAATATATTCTTACTTTCTCGTAAACTTACGTAGTATAGAAGTATCATATGACTATGTAGTATAAAAATGTTTTGTAACTCCACGGAAAAACGAACAGAAATGCGCGAGTGGGGATCCACAGTTACTGGATAATTTTTTTATTTTTTTCAAATCTCCCGTCCTTCCGGCCGTCCTTTGAGTCTATACAATCCGTAAGATTTCTCCAAAATGAAAATTTTTCGATCGATCTGGCCAGACCAAGCCCTGCGATTTTAAAAATAATTCTTCGAATTTTGGGTCTCTTTTTCGTGAAGTTCCTGGGACATTTTCAATTTAAAAAATGATTGCGAAGTTTCCTGTAAATTTCTTGTGAGAATAGTACGAAGTACACGTCTAAAGGCATATGTCCGACTTTCACTTACCTCGGGATTTTCGAAAATTGCAAAACATTTTTTGGGCCCTTTAGCGTAACTGCGTTATTACAGGTAGAGATTTTGTTCTTCAAATACAATTTGTCCTCCATAATTAGTTCTTTAGTTAATGACTAATTTTTCAGTGAAATGTGGACAATTTAAAAAAAGTAAATTTTCTCAAAGACTGATCTAATTTTCTTCTTTGAAATTCTTGTACTTACCCCAAGCCCCGAGGTAATTGGGACTTCAAAAATGGATTTTCTTTTCAAAATAAAATGGTTTTATATCCAATTCAAATAAAGGGCTAGAAGTTGTTTCAGTTTCATGGAAAAATGAATTATATTGGAGGGAGGAACTTATTGAAATAAGTGGATCTATTGCCCAGAATTATTGTTTTTGAGATGACCCTGAGTATAGGAAGGTACCCAATTTATTGAATTTATAACTTGTGTAAATTATTAGAAGCCTGTAAATTATGTAATTTGACTGCTGAGCGAGTACGTATCAGTACTTTGCCATCAAAATTAGCGAGTGCAAATCAAAATATTAATAAGCAAGTACGGAAATCCATGAAGTCGCGCCTATAGAGAGAACCGAATAAAATTTGGAATAAAGAAGAAAGGAAACGAGTCGGCTGAACACTATACCTTTATCCCACCCACTCCCAGGAGAAGAAAATCTGGGTGCGCCTGTGGTTAGAATTCATATATTTTAGACCACTGGCAACCCACTGGCTAATGCGTTCTCTCTGGAAGTCATTACTTCAATTTCCGCCTGGTTGGGCGTCTGTTGCCTCACCGGGTGGCTGGCGCCGTCATGTCCCGACGCACTGTGGTTCGGAACCCACATTTGGACGGTGAAATTTCAAAGTTTCAAGTAGAAGTAAATTCAGAGTTAATCTACATAATACACTACTATACACGCCTAACAAAAACATAGAAGTATTCCTTTCATGATTTAGCCGAGTTTAAGAAGAGTTCTCTAGCGCTGAGTTTCTGATATTTACTTTTCAGTTCAGGTTATCTCGCAACAAAAATTGGTATAATTTAAGGCAATAATAAGGAAAGGTATAAATGCACGTTTATTTTATTGTGCTGTATTGTATTAATTTCATAAAAAGTAATAGCAGGTAACTTGCAGGTAATAAATCCTAATTATAACTTAATTACTAATATTAACAAACTGGCAACCAAAAGAAATACGTTATAAAACGACGTTACTTATTTACAAAATTTCATGAGCCGACACGTGCCTATATAGAAATTACACACAATATATGACAGGGTTTATGAACTTCCAGGTGCCGTGATAGTCCAAAGACTAATTTGATTAAATACCAAATTCCACGACTTTTCAACATATCAGTTTTTTAATGGCGTATTGAATTAATTTTCCATATACATTCCTCATGATAGATCCGCCATTTTGGCCAACTCCTATTTTGTTATTTGCAAATAAAAATATAGATTTTCGTATTTTTCAGAAAATTAAATACATTTTTGAGTATTTGTCGCGTAAGTTTTGATTCTCGACCACTGTGCAGCGGTCGCGCGTTGGGCAGAGGCAAATCGGAGAAGGGTACCGTCTCAAGTCCCTGGCGCCAACTAGGTGCCGGCGCCGACGACGCTAATCGCCACGGGGGTCGGGGGTGGGAGCGGTGGTGGGGTGGAGTCAGGGGGTGGGGCGGCGGTCCTGCTCATTCTGGAGGGGATTTGTGAGCTTTGGAATTCGAAAACGTGTTCCGTTGTTGAAGCTGGGAAAGAAATCGACCGAGTGTTTTTGTTTGGAGAGTGGCACTTCACGATGCGGAAGTGTGAACGATGTGGTTGGAAGCCAAACAAACAATAGAAGCGTCTTGACGACACTATTTTTGGTACGCAAAGGAGTTGTACGTAAAAAATAAAAAAAAATAAAAACGCGTAAGAAGATCGTATCTTCATAATGTTAATCAGGCAGCGAAATTAACTAATGGGTTCAGAAGAGAAGGAGAGAAGTCTTATATCAGAAAAATTGACAAATGAAAAGTGCTAGAGTGGAGAAAATCGCATATTAAGTTTTATCAAGACAAGGACATAATAGTGCTAATATTTCCTTCGCTAAGATACTTGCACTCCGTAAACTGGCGGAGCCCGACATTTTCAGTGCATATCACTTTCATCGCTTGTTGCAAGTTATTTTTAGTGTCGTTAATCTATGAACTGCTTTTCTGGTCTTTGAACTCTCGAATAAAATCCTAAAATGAAATAAAAGAAATAATATGAAAGTGTTCCACTTCAGTATACTATACGTTTATCAGACTTGTTTTTCCATGAAGGCTGTTTACTAGTGTCAGCTTTCAAGAAACACTGAGTGACACATACTTCCACATATTCTCACAATATGAATTTAGGGAACAATACTATAACTCGCAAGAAACTTCATTAGGTGGTATGATTTTCATTCACTTTCCATCATTATATGATGTTAATGTAAGTATAAAATATACACGCCTTCACGTACCAAATAAACTTTAGAAACGTGGGTAAAGTTTTCGTCTACTACTCTGGTTTTTGGATGGAGTAGGGACGACTTTAGTCAAGCTACAGCACAAGGCATGTGTGTGTGTGTGTGTGTGTGTGTGTGTGTGTGTGTGTGTGTGTGTGTGTGTGTGTGCGCGCGTGCGCGTGCGCGTGCGCGTGCGCGCAGTACACGGCTTAAAATATGGTAGATTTGAGTTAGTTACATCTGTAGTAAAATACCCAGTTTTCGTACTTACGTAAAAAAACTGTTTTGTATTTCATGTTTAAGTATCCATGCGTCTGTTCTATTAATCTTTCCCAATTCTAACAGAAAAACGGAGGAAAATCAGTAGATAAACTGCACGAAAATGAACAAGATGTGTGATGTAAGATAGGACAAAAAAAAGCTTACTGGTCTCAAAGCAGTATTTTAACAATTCTAACCGACAGAGCAATCTCAAAACAGTTCTTTCAAAAAAGCTTAGGACTTTTTTAAACTGCATAACGCATAAGCATGAGAGGTAATGTCTTATCAATGGAAATGGGAATTATAAGTCTATTAATCCATGTTTCCCTTTTTCGGGTGCAGCTTCAGGAAGCTAAACGTTAAGCAGTGATGAGGGACACATCACTTCTACTGTAGGGGGAAAAAGAGGGTTCGCACGATGGTGACAAAAGCGAACGACGATTGAAAGCACCGATGAAAATGCACGTTCTGACAACAATTTTGTTGTAATTATTAGAAAACGGAAAAATATATAGTATTAAACATGAAAATACGTACATAAATATATATTGAGAACAGTAAGAATGTGTAAAATCGGATATAATATGTAATATTAAAATACTTTTACTGAAAAATATATATAATAATATCCTTTATATAATACGAAATTACAATTATAAAAATATGTCCTAAATACATAGTGAAATTAATAAATATTATAAAAATCATTTGGAGAGCTCAAGTTGATGCTCACTTGGCATCATGCAACTTTCGCGTCAGCAGTAAAAGCTTCATCTAATGTTATCCAGAACTCGAGTTAACTGCCAGACTAGACGCAATAGAACAAATCAAACTGCCGATATCTACAACCAGCACTACAGCGACCAGCGATATCTACGACCGATCACTGCAGTACGCAACGTTCTTATCGAACTGTTGCCCGTTGATGATCGCGAATTTTTCTCGGTAATTAAGGTTGAAGGTCACAAAACGCGATGTCAATACTTTCACGGCTAGATTTCGGCAATAATTTAATTACTGCTGAAAAAATGCTGATTTTTTAAAAACACTTATTTTTATAAAAATGTGTAATAAAATGGAAGAAAATTGCTAAATTAATAAATAATATTCTTTAAAAAATAGCGAAATAAGTAAAATGTGTAATATAGTACTAAATTTGTAAAAATATGCAAAAAAATTGTCTAATGTGTTAGAACGGCGACGATTCGCCAAGATTACAATTTTGAGAACGGTAAGAAGAAATCCAAAAAATACGTAATACATAAAAATCCGGTCTGTAGTAATTATTGTATTGTGCACTTCAAAGCATAAACAAATTTTAAAATGATTTTTTTAATTTGATAATCTGCATTGCATTTCTTTGATAGTATATTATAAATCTTGTTTCAGTTTCTATCGGGAGTAAAAGTCCGTCGTTTATTTTCTTCTGAAATATACTCTACTCCATTATTCCTATTGCACTTTATATTAAATTAAAAATATTTTAATCAAAAATTGTTTTACTTTAAAACAATAGAAGAGTTCAAAATGAAACTTTTCAGGGAGTTACAAATTCTGACAAATGAAAGGAGAGGAGACTGAGGGGATTACAAAAGTTAAATTTGGAAACCATTTTCTAAATGGCTCCTAAAGGGCGCGTCAAGGATTAACCAACCCCCCTCTCCCCTTCTCCCCACACATTCAGAGTAACTAATTCCGAGAAGGGACTCACCGTGCCCGGCCGAGCTTTGGTTTCTGGGCGGGTTCCGTTGCGTCGGCGCAGGCGAGGCCGGTCCTGCGTGCGAAGTCCGACCACCTGAATGACAAAGGGAGAAACAGTTTCAACATTTTGGTGTAATTGCCGAATGTAAAAAAGCACATAATGTCAATAATACAATAAAGTTATTTATGATGCGAATGGTAAAAGTGATCTTTTATTTTCAGGGCAGGAAAGGTCGCGAACCGAGGCTGATAGGTGCAATCCTATGAATAAATTAATAATCACTTTTACTAGGTGGGGCAAACACTTTTTTTAGAAGTCTTTATTAACTTTCATTTTGTTTTTATTCCAATATACATATCATTAAATGGTCTATCAAGGTTAGTAGTAGCTGATGCGGTCAGACGAAATTATTTTGTTTTCTTTGTTAATTTCACAGCTTTATCTGAACACTTCAGCATCGACTCTCTAAGCACTCTAGGCGTGCCTTAAAAGAACCGCTTTTACTGTGTCTAAAAATCAATATTTGAATAATTCAAAAATTATTCAACTCACGTTAAAAGAACTAGGTAGTTTAGCGTTAGTGTTGTAATAAGATATATTGTTAATTTATTAATTAATTAATTAATTTCAATTTAGGGAAATATTTACCTAATTTCGGAAACTTTGTATTATTTTGAAGAGGTTCCAGTTTTGCAACTTCTATTTAGCATTGTAAAACAGCATTCCTCTAACTAATTAATCAACAATAATTACTGTTAAAAGAAACATTACTTTCCAATTGAATTGCACAAGCTGAATTTTAATCAGATAGACCCTGTGTAAATGAGAAAGTGTTTGAGATACTCTCAGATATTAATGCTAGAAACCTTCAGATAGATAATGTAAATTAAGTAAAACATAATCAAAGAAATATTACACATTCTCGCTAAACTGCTTCGTCGAAAGTGGAGTCGTAGTTGGGCGAGTTTCCAAGACATTGGTCAGGAGATAATTCTGTCCGTTCTTTTGCAACGGGAGTTAATACATTGCCAACAGACATTTGAAGGTCATTCCGAAGAAATGATAATGTCTTCAGTAACAAACCATTAACATATCATTTGTAAAAGCAAGGAAGAAGTTGATATCTGTGCTATTTTTATGAAAATGTTTTGTTTATTTCTTGTATTTTTTTCCTTTCGTCAGTTCATTAAAATTAAATATGTCCGAAATTTTTCCATTCGAGTTCTCTAATTGTTCTCCAACTGATAAAACACCATTCTAACAAATAACGACTTCAGTGAGAAGTAGCTGATCTTGAAGGAAAGCGTTTCGTCGTTAGAAGATAAGTTAAATGAAGTGTGCGAGTGTATCAGTACGAACGCGCCGATGACCACAGCAGTGTAAACACTGGACACTTTCCTTC